AACAGAGACACGGTTTTACTTCATAAAAGTACGTAATTATATGAAATCCTGGTTATTGAACATTTATAGTAAAGGGACAGTGACTTGGCTTATAATATTGTCCTGTTCATGCAAGCTTGCTAGATTAACTTGCTGAATAATATTATAATCATGCTATAGAAAGAAAAAAAAAGCCAAACATGGTGAAGTCAAAGGAATAACTGCAGAAATAATAGACTTGCACATACAAGGTCAGTCTAATCCAAGGTTGAGACAAACTGGCAACACTTTCGCATGGGTGTCTCTAATATGGAGTCAATAAATTACAATATAAGCCATGTCAGCCTTAGCTGGTTCTCATGCAGGTCCTCTATCCTGGTCAAATTGAAATTTGGAGATGTTGGTTTTTGTGGAGGGAGGAAAACCAGAGAACCCAAAGTACAACTCTCGGAGCAAGGCACTCGGTTGGAATTGAACCCGGGCCACATTGGTCAGAGTCAAGTGCTCTCACCACTGTGCCATTCCCTTCTCCCAGTTAATTTCACTGCTAATTATTATATGGGATCATTTCTTGTTATTACTCAAATACTGTAACAGCCATGCATCATTAATTTTATTTAACAAACCTTTCTTCCTGATCACAAAAATGGGAGTAGCAAATTTTGCAAGACTTGAGAGGGGGTGCTAGTTGTACCTTTTAGGGGTCAAAAAGCAGTTTTGGTACCTCTTAGGGTGTTTAGCCTCAAAAGGTCCAAAGCTGGAGCTTTTGCAGTACCTTAATGTGGAATTAACACAACACATATGACAGGAGATAATGGGTTACTAGAATTTGTACCTCTCTGGGGTGAAAAACATTTCAAGCCATGCCCACAGAGCAGGATTTTGGTACCTCTTAGGGGCTCTTTTCAAAATTTCTGACGTGCACCCCCATCCTTTTTATATGGGAGTTCCCCCCCCTCTCCCCAATCCGGGCCATAGATGAACATCACCTAAGGCAGACACTGAGTATTGGTCCCCACCACATGTGAACACTACATTTTAGCTTCCATTAAGGGTGTCTGCTTATGGGAGGTTTAACTGCACATTTTTCAACAAGTAAATTTTTGACGTGGTTTTATAAACATGTTGTTTCCTTGTTGGTAATTGACAGGAACGTGGATCCAAATATGAGAGTCAAGCTCACTGGTGGGACCCTAGGACATGGCCTCAGTCCTATGTATCTGAGAGACAGGTAACTACACCTAACAAAGTAAATGAATTCTTACAAATACTTATTATAAAATGTGTTACTGTACGTGATCGTGCTGTTGATTCACTATAATGAGTCAATTTAGTGCCCATGATGCTAATATTGTGAATACAGTTGAATCTCCAGTTGTGACCACCTCTCATTAGCGACCACCTCTCCTCAACAAGCAGTTTTCCAAAATACCAAAAGTTTCCAAGTCAAATCACTATATTTGGAACCTCTTGTAAGCCACAACCTCTAGTAAGCCACTTTAGGAGCTAAAAGTTTGAAATTTGCTCTTGTTTTTAACCTCTCGTAAGCGACTACTTGACAGATTATAGAGTGGGAATTGAATAATAAGGTGTTGTAAAATTATGCTATTCCTGGATACTACAAGAGATGGAAATTTCTCAACGGCGTCAGTACGGGATTTTTTCTCGCAATGGACTTTTCACATGAATAAAATTTTTAAAACATGAGAAAGTCTCTGCAGTTATAACATATGCTAATGTAAGCGACCACCTCCCATAAGCAACCACTTACACTTGACATTTTTGGTGGTTGCTTACAGGAGGTTTGCCTGTAATTAGGTTTTTATTTAAACAAATGCTAAAGAGAAAGTGGCGATAAGACCAAAAAGAAAGTACAATGAAAGGTTGTATAAATATGTGATTCTCCCCAATTAGTCGAGGGGTGTTTCTCCTTGCCTAACAAAACTTTTCTAATAAAAGTTTTCGATTGATTAAGCGATTCATTAATTGGTTGATTGATTGATGATTGACTGATTGACTGAGTGAGAGAGTGAGTAATCGATTGAGGCATTGAGTGATCGAGTAATTGATTGATTGATTGATTGATTGATAAACTAAGATGAATTCCAATTGATGTGGCATTAAGGTGCAAGTTTGTGTTGAATGCATATTGCAGGATGGACCACTGAAAGTCTGTTAGATTGGGGACAGTTTCTTGAGCTTACAGTGCCAGGTTTGGTGATGACATGTATTGACTGGTGGAGTTTTGAAGCTGGCTCCTTTTTAACAGGTATAGTTAAACCCTAGCTTCACTAGGACATTTGGTTGGCTGAGGGAATAGTTGAAGTGCATTTGGTATTTTATTTAAAAATTATATTTATATTTTTATTAGTAATAAAAATAAATCCGGGGGAGCTGCTCAAATTCACACTTTCCCCTCAAAATGAAGTGTGCCTTGTTTTGTTGCCATGTACATTTGGTTCCACCGATGTAAGCAGCCAGGTCTTATTGTACCTTATATGCACTGCACATGTGTGATTGGATTGGAGATGAGCAA